AAATCAATGAAATGTCTTTCAAGGTGAAGAAGCCAAATCTTAAATGACATCAAACGTTTTTCCTTATTACAATAATTCTGACTCCTATTTGTTATCCAAGGCCTTACTTTGTTACACAGTATATGAACAGAGTAAAGAGTTTCTTCTCTAAAGAGCTTGCAGTTTTAGAGATAAGAAACAGATTGATAGAGCTGGATATGTCTGTCTCCAAAGCTGACCGTTCTTCTAAAGTGACATTCCCTGCAGGAGAAATCCTTTAACTACTAGGGATGCTGGGCTCTGAATCCTCAACAAATTCTTCAATGGAAAGGACAGCTCAGCCTACTGCATCTCTGAAGCAACTTTTTTCCCCAGTCATTATAAATTGCTATTGCTATTAGAGCTTATTAGAAGTTCATCTGAGAAAGAGTGGCTTTTAATGAAAGTTGTACTTCTCACCAGCATTAGCAGTCCTCAGTTGTACATTTCTTTCCACTAAGAAATGATCAAAAAGACATCTTTTTCCAGTATTCAGAAGAGTGAGGAAGGACAATCATGTTTTTGCAATAATCTGTTTCTTAGGGACCAAGCCTTTAAACTCCCCAAAGCAATGGAAACTTCCCTGACGTTTTTATTGAAAAAGGGACTGGTTCCTGTATTAATTCACAACCAAAGCATTCCCCCTTCCCCTCCAGTCTCCTGAGAATAACATATCAGCGAAATAACATCTTGTCACACATGCACATCAGCAAAGGCATCTGTAAATTCTCATTCAAGAACTGAGTTTGTGGTAGCGGCTCATAGCAACACATAAAACAGAAAGAAAACAGCTTGATTTGCCTTTTAGAAGAAAATCCAATTCATAACAAATCCTATTTTAACTTGTTAGCTGAGAGATGGACATGAGCATTTGAGGGAGGGCAGGGAATAGAACATTTATTTGTATAATGCCTCTTCACAGCATGGTCACGTGTTAAATTCCAAGTATCATGTTGTAAGGCAGTCTAAAGTTCTATTTCACAGGTAAGCAAACACAGTTAATTAAAGCAGCACCCTCTTGGCACAGACAGAAGTCGCTTACTTATAAATTAGTCCCTGTATTTTGGAAGACCTTTCTTCAGCAGTTTAATAGTAAGTCTGTTTAATGATCAGACTTGAACAAGTAAGAGACACTGGAATAACCAATTTTAAGTTATTTCCTCTAGCTTCTCCTGGCCTTGAAACTCCTCTCTTCTTCCACAGTTTTACTGGCCGTATGAATGGTTGTGAGAGGAATCTGGAAGGCTGCAGGTCCTACTCAAGCTCTGTTGGGAAACAGTCCCAAGTATCCATCACTGGAGCCGAGAGATGTTCTCAGATTAGCCTCAGCAACTCCATGTATAGTAATTACTGATCTGACATTTGGCAATTCTGTTGAGCTTATTTACAGGACTGCTCCGAAATGTCAAATACTTCAAAAACACAAGCTAGAATAATTGCATAGTTGGGATCACACATTAAACCATTTTTTAAAGTTAACTGCCTGGTACTTCAGATAAACAAAGATTTTGGCTTTTCCAGTAAAGCTCTCCTACTGCCAATTACATCCAAGTTTCCTGGCTTCTGGCAGCCATCAGCATACTGTCACAGTTAAATGGCTCCAGAAATCAAGTAGCCTTGAAAAAGAGCAACTTGCCTGATATGCTTGGGATGGCTATTTAAACAGTGCTTACCCAATCCAACAGACGAAGGGCAGTGAGAAGTGAGGTACTGAACACTGACTGCTCTTTACCTTCAGCAAGGCATACTCAAGGAACTGGAATATTATATCAGGAGGACTTTGCCGGTTAATTAAACTGACCTAATCAACATATCCATATTGCTGCAGGTGTACTAATTTTCATCACTGCATGGAATCAAAGACATTTTACTGATATGGAATTATACGCGTGTAATTGCATTCATTACTTCTTCCCCTAAATTAGTACATGCATGGTATATGCATATCTTTGAGCTGGAACCCACAGACAGAACTGTAAATGCAGGGAGCAGCAAATGAAATACAGGAATTAATAACCAAAACAAGACAAAATTCCTTTCAATTTATTGGAGGGGTTCTTTTAGTAAAAAGCTGTTCTTTGACAACGATAATAGATAGTTATTCTGGAAAAGGAGATATTTTGACGGTTTTCTTGGACCTAAACAGGTGGTGAATAGATTAACTGCCCTGTCTCAGGACTGTATGACTGGACTAAAAGTTAGTGTTGCCACTGAGAAACTGTGTTTGTTCTGCTCTACAACATGTATTTATATGTAGATATACAAATTTATCTTATACAACTCCTCTGGAGATATTTTCGCTCTCCAGTACTAACAAATAAGGGGTTTCTGTTGTTTGTTTTTGTTTTGTTTTTAAATTTAGTCAGTGAAAGCAGTGACTCAGATTACACCTTAGAAATAAATCAGTTCACCAACTGTTATTTTTAGTCATCTCTCCAAATCTGGTTAAATATTTGGTCTCAACACAGCAGACAAAAGTTGCAAATAGCACTAAACCCCAGCCTACTGATTTGAGCTGAAATAAAAGACAGTCAGGGACCAATCTTCCCATTACTCCTAAATAAAAAACGCATGCTGTCTTTTATACTCTTGCAAGAACTAAAAAATAATCTTATTGTTTGGAGTAGCACTTGGTCCCCAAGGAAGGAATTTCTTTCCAGCTAAACAGATTTTTACTTTTTTGAATCTCTGCCAGGCAGGGAAAACAAATACAGGCCTTCCCCACTTGGTTTCCCCCTCTTCCCATGAGCTCTTTCACCATCTGTGTAAGATCATGGCCCAGCCTGTCTTTCCACCCTTCTGAAAAGGACACAAGGATTCCTCCCAAACACGTCTCATCACAGGAACACGTGGCTGCCAGAGATAGCACTGGTGAAACTGAGGTTGGATTAAACGTGGTATGAAGCTTCTCTCCAGGGGCTGTTGGGGGCTTGATATGGAGGCAGAAGTCAGAGAACTATTTTTCTTCTCCACTCAGGGAAGCACCTCTTCCCTAAAAGGCACTTGTCCCTTCCTGAACTGCACATGACACTGTCATTCCCTCCCCTCCTGCTCCCAACTGCCACAACAGGCTCTGAAGCCTGTACAGGTTTTCTGTGCACTCCCCATTTCAGCAACTGCTCTGTATGCTACTGGAGCCGCTCTGCAGGGTTTCTCTTTGTAAATCCATGCACTAACAAATTCACTGATCACTCTTCTGCATGGCCCTGCTGAACTATGCAGCTGTTGTGTACCTCCACAGCTGCTCAGGATGTTCCCTGTCGTGTCCTCTGTAGGGATTCAGTGCTTTGAGCTCAAAGGCATAAATGCAAGAGAGATGGTGAACACCGCGGTCAACACTTGGCCCATAGAGATCACACCTTAGTCAATGTGCAGGAAGCTTCACTGTGACTAGTTTACGCTGACAATGTCTTTGAATAGCAAAAGCTTGAAACTCCCTTCTAAGAAAACTGGCTTTTCAGAAGCCACCAAAGTACTCAACACTGCAGACATGACTTAACTTCATTTTGTTCCTCTGCTAAATCTTGAAATGCACGCTACGTGCCTGGAAAAAGGAGGGCTTGCAGGGGAACAAGAAGTGCAGTTGCACCTCAGACATCGCTTCCTCTGATTACACACTCCTGTATAGTTTCTGCTGTATCCTCAAGTATTGCATTTGTAAGGACTTGCAGAAGTACCTGCAGAAGGTTCCAGCTCAGGTTATGTTCTCAAGGCTTACTTAGATGCACATAACACAGTCCAGAATTTGCAAAACGTGCAGGTATGGACAGCCACAAATGCTAACTGCAGCTTTCAAAATGGAAACCACAGTAAAAATAACAAAGTTTTCAGGAATATAATGAAAACTGAATCCCAGTACTCACAGCAAACCATCACTGAAATGCAGCTAAAGAAACTACTACAGGTTTTTTTTCTAAAGTCTGAAGAAATGGATATTACTAATGGAATAAAGAGATAGGAAGTGAGAAAAAGATGGAGCAGTGTGTTATTTTCTTCCTTCCACCACTCAGGATCAAAACCAGCCTCTAGTCTGTGCACATACCCGAACTGTTCTCACTCTCCCTTCAACTGTGCTGAAATCGTCCCTGGGGACATCAGCTCTTAGAACAATGCTATCTACAAAGAATAAGCCCTTTAAGGCTGCAGATCTATTTATAGCTGGTTAACACACCACCTTGAAAGGAAAGGGTCTTGGTCCTGCGACTCTGCAATAAATGGTTAATTAATGCAGCAACGCTGGTGGGAAGTGGCAGAATTTAGTCTGTGATTTTTTGATTTTTCCAAATTCATGTCATACAAACTATGCTCAAACTACACTGGTGTGGAATTGATCTCAAAAGGGTTCCTGACGGAGAGAAAAGAATAAAACAGGAATATAACCTCTCTGCTTCAAAGTACTTGCTACAAAGTTACACTTCTACAAGTGACTTTGAGGAGAAAACTGTAGAAACAACAGTACAGATGCTCACATTCTGAAAGTTACCAAAAGCTCAAAAGTTTAGCTTAACTCCCAAGGTAAAGAATTAACACAAAGAAGCTGTACAAGGGACAGAGCAAATGTATCACTGAGTCACACTTTTGAACACCCTGTCACACCCTGATCCCTTCAAAAGTAAAAAATATCCTCTGAAGCCTGTGGTTTTGATACAAAAAAAAAAGCATTTATAGCTGGTCAGACCAGACCCGTGTTTTACTTAGCTGTAGAAAAACAACTGAACAATTGAACATCCCTGTCAGTTTGCCTTATAGAAATTGTAAAGCTTGTAGTAAGTCTCTGTTATTAAAGGATCTCCCAAAAGTGCCTGTTCCACACAGCAGTCTTGGCAACTCTGCAGGTTCCTGTAACAGCAAACACATCTTTGAAGCAGCAGCTCAGTCACATTTGAGTATGGCACTGTCATATAGCAGGGTGCTACAGAGTTTAAAAACACAAAAGATCTTTTTAAAAAATTCAGTAACAAGACGTTACATTCATTCCTTACCTGGTAGGGTTGGCAGAACTCCTCTAGATGTCCTGCTTGAGTTGATTATGGGAAACCAACCCTCTTCATTGCAGAAGGCTGCTTCTTGCTGCTGGCCTGCTGCAAGATCCCCAGTTACTTTGATCCACTACAGAAAGCCTTAGCAGGGAAACTTCTCAACGTCACTGGGCAAGACACATGCTGAGAACATTTGTTCTAAAACAAACACTGACGGGAATAAATCAAGAAGTTCAAAAGGAAATAAAGAAGTTAGGCAGCTTTCACACACAGACACCAGAGTAAGCTTGTTTCTTATTCAGTTAGATAATACTACTACTAAATCCATCCAGAGACATTTTATGGAGGCCTAGGAGTGTTTCAAGAGTACAGAAGATATAGAAAACATATTAATTATAGCTGTTAATGTCATTTTACATTGTTCAAAAATATTTTTGTGCAAGTTTGCATCAGTTTCCCAAAGTAACATAGCAAAAAGTAATTTCTAGTCTCACTACCTACAGACCTCAGTGTGTGAAAGGGGGACATGCTGGACAGGTGATGTTTTTAAGCCAGACAGAAAATCACATTATTTCCCCTGAATGAGGAGCACAGAACAGCAGGCAGATTTTTGATATGTTGAATCCTCTAAAAAACCATTCCATTCTGCTCCCCATATTTGACTCTTTCCCAGGATAAACTGGAGACAGGGCAGCCCAGAAGAGCATCCCAAATAGTCTGCTTCCATATCCTCCCACCAAGCCACTCCAAACCACCTTGGCTTGGTAAAAACCAACCCCTGCTATCCTGGATCCCAGGCTGCCTGGCTCAGGGAGATTTAGTTTTGCCTTTGCTGGAAGACACCCAGCTCCCCCTTCCCTGCCTCCCCCACTTGGGCAGGTAAAGGACAGGGCAGCTCACTCCTAGCCAGGCAAGGCAGCGGGCAGCCAGGGTGGCCGAGCCCACCAGTGGGATGGCTGGGGCGGCAAGCTGACATCTGCCCAGTAGCACATTGGGCCTGCTGTGAGCACATACGTACACACACAATGTATTCTTACTTCAGTTTTTCCACATAAGAATTAGAGAGAATGCCCAAAAGGAAGAGCGGGAATCATAGCAGAACCCATCCAAGACACAGCCCATCCCAGTTCTCCTTCCTTCGATCTTTCTTTTCTTTACCCACTGTGCTGTAGGAAGGCAAAGAAGCTAATAAATGTTCTGAAGATGCTAATGGGTCACTTTACAGTAGACATAAGCCTTGAGGAAAATCCTGTAATCAAGACTACCTTCTGCCTTTGGGATTTAAGCTAACATCTTTGCGCTGGGACAAGGAAGTCTTTTCCCCAAATACTGACAAGAAATGCAAGGAAAGCTGACAGACTTCCCACTGCACAGAGGGGAGTCAGACAGCATTTACCCTAACTCCAGAAAACTGGGCTTTGCAACACACACAACAAACCTCCTTCCAGTAACCCCTGATGTGCTACTTGCACCGTAAACTCTAGAGGAATACAGCTAGGAAAGCAACTTCAGCAGTGCAACTAAAACACACCCCACCTGTTTCTCGCTAGTGAGTGCTCTGTAGAACATTCCTACCTCTCTCGTACCTGTGGTTATGCCAACTGACATTCCAAGTAAAATCTGGCTTCAGTAAAGCTCTATTTTTATTAGGAAGTAAAGAAATATATAGGAAGTGACAGAGCGAAGGTAACAAAAACCAGAGTTAACTGAGGTTCAGCACGGACACATCTTTGTAAAGGTCAGGGGGTTATTTCATTCACCTGGCACATGCAATCCACACTGTCAGCTGCCTTGTAGCCCACCCCATCCCCCTGATGGGACACCTCACCCCTCTGGGCAGAGATGCACCTTCTACATCAATCCTCCTGCAACTGATGGGTAACTCAGGTCTACTGGTCACTTTATCCTCACGAGCACAGCTGAAAAATCTCTTGTTACTCCATAACTTTTCTCCTAGATTAGATCCCTTTCTCCATCTCCCTCCCCTAAAAAAGGGAAATGTCCTCCCAGGATGTTCAGCAGCCCTTGCCTGGGATATCCAGAGGAGGTCAGTGCAAATAAACTGTCTGGACTCTTCCAACTCTATAGAGAGCTCAGGTTTTCACCTTCAGCCTTTGCTACTCCATAACTACCCTTAGCCCCCTCAGCCTGCACTCTGTCACAGTCATTTCTTGGCCTGGGGACCATGGCCTCCTACGTTTCCTTGTTAATTTTTTTTCAGCACACCTACTAGTATGCAAACTATCAGATGCCTCTTGACAAGCGGTGATCATCAGGCTATCAGTCCTTGGAAGACCAGACTTTGCAAGCAGGCTGTGCTCTCTAGTCTAGCCCAGCTTGGGACAAGGGTCTCCTGGCTATGATTAAGTTCTCTACTACATTTCAGGAAATCATGAAGGATCAAAGAGGCCTAAAACATTGGCTTTATAAAGAAACATTAAATAAAATGCAATCAGCCCTAAACAGAAGGAGCAGTGAGCTGGGAATAATGATACTGGTATGCAAGGGAAAAATCAGGCACCTGACTAAGACAGGGTTTCAGCAGGGAGTGAGATGATGCCTACTCCTTGTGAGAATCCCTTCCCCAAAATCTCTGCTATTTCCCAACTTCCCAGGCATGTCAAATGTAAAAGCTTAGCTCTTCCATCACATCATACTCTACACAAACAGCCTCTGTGTATCCTAGGAGGAGCCTCTGCCCAGGAGAAGCTGCAATTGCCCGCAGCAGCTGTTGAAATAATGCCCTACACTGAGAGCAACGGCAGACACAGGCAGGACCTCAATCAATGTTGCCAAGAGGTTTGAGATATTTGAAGCTGAGAAAGCCACACAGGTATACTGTATTTCACATTGCAGAAGGAGGATGCCTTAAGGACAGCATGCATGTTAATCTTCTATGCATATCAAAGAAATAACTTTAAGTAATCCAGGATACATTATCTAGGTAGTTAATAAAATTTTCCATTTCATTGGCCTCTAGAAGAACAAGTGTTAAATAATCAAAATGTCTGACAGCTTTTTATAAAACCTCTGGATCACAATATTTAAAGAAATCATTATGTGCTTTTTAAAAGCCCGATTGGAAAAATTACATCATTTTGGATTTTCTCAACATTTGGTGCGTCAGCTCTCAGTGTCTAAGAACCCTATAAATAGACATTTGGACCACCTCAATACAATTCATGTATGCCGTTTTTCCATAATCCACTTAACTCTATTATTCAAATAAAGTGCAACAGGATCTTTTCTTGGAAACAAGGATTATGCAATGCTCAGTACAGGAGGTTCAAGAAAAACAGTATAAAGCCAAACGTGAGCTGCAAACACTTGCAGAGCAGCAGAGTCTCTTTGTATTTATTTATATGCTGTGCTTCCATTTCTCTCATCTAACAGCCACTAGCTCCTTTTGCCCCTTTTGATCAACCAAACACTTTCTCTCTCCTGTCTTAGTACACCAGGAGTTTGGACAAGCCCTTAAACTTCAACTGCCAACTGCATAACAATGAAAATATAATTGCAGGATGATCAAAACTTTAATGTAACTAGATCCCTGTGCTGCTAGGAACCACTCTTTCAAATTAAAATTATAAAACCCTATAGTACTGATGAGATTTTGCTAAATCCACTGAATTCAGGAGTTTGTTAGAAAACCAAAATATTTAGTTTCCGGTCAGGGATGGCTAAATACTATGATCACAGCTTTCTACACACAAAAAAATTTCCTCTCATATTTCTAAAAGGCAACTGCTATTAATGTGTTCCCTTAACCTCCTTAAGAGCCTTCCAGTGTCACATGAGTAGAACATAAAAATTAAAATACGCAACTCAGCAATAAGAACAGCAATGAGAGGAGTCTAGAGAACAAGTCATACGAGGAGAGGCTGAGGGAACTGGGCATGTTTAGTTTGGAGAAGAGGAGGCTGAGGGGAGACCTCATTGCCCTCTACAACTACCTGAAAGGAGGTTGTAGAGAGGTGGGTGTTGGCCTCTTCTCCCAAGGGAATAACGACAGGACCAGAGGAAATGGTCTGAAGTTGCAGCAGGGGAGGGTTAGATTAGATATTAGGAAGAATTACTTTACTGAGAGGGTGGTCAGGCACTGGAACAGCCTGCCCAGGGAGGTGGTAGAATCACCATCCCTAGAGGTATTTAAGAAATGTGTAAACGTGGCTCTTCAGGTCATGCTCTAGTGCCTGAGATTACTGGTTTGTGGGTGGGTGTAATGTGGTGGGGTGTTGTGTTTTGTGGGTTTTTTTTTTGTTTGGTTGGGTTTTTGTTGTTTGTTTGGGTTTTGTGTTGATTTTTTTTTAAGGTTGGACTCGATCTCAGAGGTCTCTTCCAACCATGGTGATTCTGTGATTCTGTAACTCTGAATAAAATCTTTGAAAATATACTGTATAACACCACTTTAACACATATACACACATCTATATGTATCTAAGCCATATTTGAGGATGAATTCTATTATATGTGTTTTTCTTTTCCTTATATACTGAATATATCAATTATTCTTCTAGTGTGAACCACTTGGGTAAACAGCTCCATCAGAGATACAAGTATATGATTTGATACAATACATATTTGCATAGAAGCGAGCCCCAGGATAAAATGCATTTAGATGGGTTCTTTTCCTCATGAAAATGAAGTTAGGGCTTCTGGTCAGCTCAGCATTCAAAAGTTACTTCTAAGGATCTCAATTTAATCTTATGCTTAAGGTCAATTTAGAACCTCAGTAGCCTACCCCACTTCTTTGGGAAACTCCCAGCTCTGGAGACCCACAAGCTGTAAGCAAGTCTCAAAAAGGCCTATTTTTATCAGAATGTGATGTAGGTTACATGTTACAGGGCTGAAGACCTCAAAGGAAGCAAAACAATTTGGAGAACATGAGAGAGGTAGAAAATATCAGATACTGTCAAATACCTACTGACAACTATAATGGGATATAATGCCAAAGTGCCAAAATGCAGCACGTGGGAGACATTTCAGGAACTGTCTTTCCTTTCCGTTAACTTGGGCCCTCTGGAATTAGGCACTGTGAAAAGCACAGGTAGAGGGGAAGGGCCTTCCCAGGAGGAAGGAGCATCTCCAACAGGTCACAGAGGCAAAGAACTGTGCTAAGGGCTCACTATGAGTCAGCTAGGGGACTGCCAGTGGTCACGGGGGTTTGAGGCAGCTGAGGGCTCTTCTCTGAGATGTCTTCTGCAGTGGGGAAATGTCGCAAGGAAAATAAGTCCAGAAGAAAAAACATCCACTTAAAATAATGAATAGGTAGCAGCAAAGGCTCTAACGGTAAAATCACCACTTGCTTTCCATCTGCCTTTCCACTGAACCACGACTTAAAAAACACTCTTTAGCCCACCCCAATTCTTAGCCTTCACCCCAGAAAGACTGTCTGTCACCTGCAATCGCAATGAATTAGTGCTTACACCAAGTACTGCCAGCCATTAGCATTTTAAGGAGACAGTTCCTAAAAGCAAGAATCTGCTTTAGTACCACCGTTTCCATTCTTTTTCCATTCTGTTTTCACTGGACTGGTGAGACATTTCACTTTAAGTGTGACTCAAAATCCCACATGCAGAAAAAAATATCTCCATAGTTACACACCTCTTTCTTGCAACAAAGCGCCAGTTCTCTATGGCTCTTCTTTATAATTTTAAGTGCTAAAACACAGTAAAAATGCCTTCCCTCAATCATCATGATACATTTGTTTTCAGTTTTTAGCCAACTGCTAAAACATACAACATCTTCCTCTTTGCAAGGATAACTGAAAGAGCCTAGAGGAAATAATCTAAAAATCCAACTTGCGATGTAGAAGAAAACTTTGTGTAGAGATACATCCATTTAATGCCAAAAGGGAGGATTCAGCCTGAAATTAGGTCAAAACGAGAGATATTCCAAAGGGTAGATATTTGAAAATAAGAGATATGGCCTACATAAATATGCAAAAGTAGAATATACTGATACAATGTCCTAGTATAAAATGTAACACTCATAACTTATTGCAAGTTTAACTCTTACATTTGCAATGTACAGAAATTTAGAGCAAGATATTAATTAAAAATTACATTATATATATTCTTTCATTTAACACGAGTATACCAATGTTATGTAAGAAATCTGTACCCTTCTTTAGAAGGCATAAAAAGACATCAAACAAGAATAATTTACAGAACACAAGCCCAAATACCATATACAGACAGCACACGTTCAGAACATAAGCACATCTGAGGTATCAAGCTCCTCTCCAACTAGATTCCACATGTACCCACCTGCCCAGTGCTCTTCATAACAACAAAGAAAAGAACAGCACATCTGCTCTGCTAAATAATATTAATGTAACTTTGACTGGATTAATCTATCCATACAGACAATATCATTAGTTAGAAGTGCATGGCTGGGGTTAGAGGTAAGTCCACAAGTGATTTTTGATTGTTATTTAACTCCTGTTTCTAGAAATGGGAAATTATATCTACCTTGTGACTGTCTCGCATTCTGATTTCTGTTGTTACACTCTGAAGTCGTAATCACGTCTAGATGTTTGCTTTATATGCTATGAAGAAATGTAGGTTGCACTCGGACTTCTTCCACTCATGGACTTATAAATAAAACCTGCAAGTCCTATAAAAACATAAATTCACTTGACACATGTGAGTTCAATAGCTGATTCCTTTGGGGACCTGTGATAATTTCGGCATCTGTTTGAAGCACTAGCAGCACCAAGTCTAGAGCTCTCCGCCATGCCTCTGTCTTGGCTGCAACGTTATCGTAAACCTTTAAATCCTCTCCATAGTCAGCAAGGGTACCAGAACTACCTCTGAGCAGATTGCCTCTTCTAAACTCTTTCAATATATATGCTGAGGGAGAGCCACACTCAGCTGCTTTTTTGAGGTGATGATCAACTGAGGTACACGCTTCCAACTCTGATGCAGCTTTTGCCATGTTATACATAACCACTGAAATATACTGCTTCCAGCCGCTCGCTAACGCTTGGAGCACAACTGATTTATACTCTGTCGCAGATGCTGTCAGCCAAGGATTGTGAAACTCTTTAACAGCATTTTTATTTGCTGGCTGTAAAGGCTTTTCTGCAAGCATCTGAATGTGACTAAGGCACAAGAGCTCCACTGCTCCACCACCAAGAAAAACCTTCTTGTCATTTACGGCATGATGGAGTCGATACGCTGAAGTCCAGAACTGGTCTTCAATGAGTTGCATCTTTGAAGGTACAGTAGTGGTAAGCACGGCCGTGAGCAGAGGCATTCCTTGCGCTTTTATCCTGACTGGCACAAGCTCACCCAGGTCCACTGCACGCCCATCGCAGGCCTTCCACAGCCCCACCTGGGCCCCACTCCCCACATAAGAAGCATTCAGCTGGGTGAGGTATGTCACCGACTGGGCACTGGTGACCTCCCCAAAGGCACACAGCACATCCCGAGTCACAGAACCAATTACCAATATACTGTTTGCTATGCATCTTTCCATTAAGTTTTCACACACATTTCCTTTGACCAAAACCAAGTTCACTTCAAAACTAATCAGAATCTCTAACATCCTGCTTAACCACAAGTCTCCTGCTCTGCCTTCCAGCAGGCTGGGATGCTCCAATATGGTCCTTACATTACACGGTCTACTAAAACCTAAGTGACGATATTGCTCAGTTAGGTCACCATCCATTAGCAGAATCCGAAGGAGTTTGTCTTCAAAGCGTTTGATAACTGTGGCTTGTTCTGGTGACACAAGCGTGACAAAGCCAGGGGAGATACAAGCATAGCTTTCAGGCAGGCCCAGTAAACAGCATGTTACAATTTCTGCAATATTAAACTGGGAAGAAATACTGCATTCTGCCTTCTCCTGTTGATGTGCAACAATGCTTTGCAGCAGTTTCACACTAGTCTGATTTCCATGGCTCAGAGCCATCACCAGGTGTTCTAAACCATAACATTCACATGGATCCACTGCCGGTCCTGAGTGGCATCCCTGAAAATTACCTTGCCGACTTGAAAAATGGCTTTTTCCTAAAGCGCTGAAGTATCTGCTGTGAGTTAACTTTTGTTTGTTACAGCTGGATGTGATAACACCACTGCCAGAGATCTTGGGTGTACTTTTCTCACCCGCTGGTTTGACAAGAGAAGCTATTTCATCAAAGCCAGCCAAAGGTGAAAGCAGGCGCTTGTTACAATTAGAAACACCTTCCTGATGGGAACAAGAATTTCTTGGAATTGCTTCTTCTGGTGCAGAAATATCTTTCTGAACGTACAGGAAAATCTCAGGATTTAGAAGACTGTCACATCCAATTTGGCAAGTTGTATTTTTAAAAGCATTTGGCCTAACACTGCAAGAACACAGCTCTTTATTTGCATCATGTATTGATATTTGAAGACACTGGACTCTCTCACAGCAAGAGTTCAACCCCTCAGACATCACAGATACTATTGCTGAAACAGGAACATTCTGCTGGAGACATTCCAGTACGGCATTGCTCCATGCACCAACGAGAAACAACAGGGTACTCATCCCAGTCCCAAACTCCTTGTTTTGTGCCTGAATGGTTTCATTAAGAAGCTGTCCGGCAGCACAAGTTAAATCCAAACTTTCAATCAGTCTAACTGCAGAACAAATCAATGTGCTTTGGTTGGTGCTTTCATCCACAATGAATTTACACGATCTCATTGGCCCCAATAACGTTCTTCCAGCTAACGCCAAGGATGAGAGCTGCTGAAGTCCAATATGTCTTCTTGCATTGACATCCCTGAAAGCCATGGGCAGCAGGCAGCATCTGTGAACAGAACACAAGACTTATTGTCCCATCCTCACAGCACTTCAGAGCATATATCACCAAAAATTAAATTAACAGTCTAACACTGAACACAGTTCTCCCACACGGCTCTTTATAAAACAGTGCTTCAGTCTGAGTACATATTATGAGACATTGATGCGCAGAGTTGCTGAAATGGTGCATTGCTAAAATACCATGGAATTTTTTCTTGCTGGCAGATAGTACAGTGCTGTTAATTCCAGTGGTTTCTTAAACAAGAAACAGTACAGATTCCATAAAACTACCATTTCTCCCCAGATCTGCTATCTGGAATTTCAGTTATTTGCCTTACTTAGGGCAAAAGTTCATTAGGGTAGAATGGACAATTATGTGCAAAACCAAAGTGCTCTGTACAGATCCATCTTAGTACCAATAGTTACGCAACTGACTTTAACCTTCAAATCTGGAAAAACATAATCAAATTTATTTTACTGCAATTCTATTTATTCCATATAGCACACATCAATATTTCATTAAACATGCATGAAAAGAAATGCCACTTCTTCGTACCTCATAAAGCAAACAGCCAACACTTTAAAGTTTTGATCTACTAGTCAGTTTTAACATACCAAAAATAAATCATCTTCTTTCCCTTGAAATCCCTTCCACACCACACTGCTGTGGCAGACCACATGGACTGAACTAAAGCTTCCTTTTTTTTTTTTTTCCCTTTTTTGAATGAAAAAGTATACACACCAAGAATTAAGAAGCCTTAGCTCATATACCTTTTATGCTCAGATTCAAATAATTTATTTCATCTCCCTAAAGGTCCCTTTGCATAGACATTCCAAATCCAAAAAACCTCATTTTCCACCCCACTCAGTCAAACTCCACCTGAATATTAACTCAAATGAAGACAAAGAGCAAATTTAAGAAGCAGAGTAGGCAGTCAGAAATAGCCCTTATATGCTGACAGACCTGAAGTTCTAGTCTAGCCCAAACTGGCAAGAGAATTTCCTTTCAATTACTAGGTACATCTTGAAGTACCAAAAGAATCATTAACCAGGAAATTATTTTGGTCTATAGTTACCCATAATCAACAATTTGGAAAAAAGGACTTTTAGATAAGCAAGTGCTTCCGACTTTATATCTGCACTAGGAGCACACATCTGAAAACCTCCTTACAACCTGCTCAAGGGTTTTTCCAGAAATATTTCTTGGCAGTCTCTTGTGATAATGGTCTAGCCATGCTATATATCCATATCAGCACTTCCAGTAGTAATAATAAAAAACCCTCTCTTTTTTCTTAACTGGAATCCTTAGCTTAATATAACAGGTAGTTTGTTTTGAAACAAACAAACCATAACATGGAAGTGATTAATAATAATAATTGCATAATGGAATCCAATAGAAACATGTTTCCCCTACTCCCCCAAAAACTCATTCCATCTAATTTCTCTTAAGGATTTACTAAGACAGTTGTTTCGGTTTGGGTTTTGTTTTGGCTCTTTTTTTTTTTTTCCTTTTGGGGAGTTTTTGTTGGTTTTTGCGTTGGGAGTTTTTTTATGGTTGGTTGGGTTTTTTGAGGTTTTTATTTTTGTTTGGTTTGTTTTCTTGAGATCGCTGTTTGTGAGTTCAAGCAGTTCTCAACTAGCAATGGTCAATTCTTGACCTACTCTTATTTTGATTAAAAAAAAATAATTAATTTGTGGTTCTCTTCATAAAATTTAGGAAAGAGCTAAATTAGCTATGCTGAAAATAATGCTCTCTCACTACCTGGGTCCTTGGCATGTAGTTCTGTACAGAAGGCCGTGCTGCTCTTTCGATGGGAGACAACTGTAGAAGAACTGGTGGGAAAGGGGTTGCCACTTTCAGTGGACTTCAGTGAACTTCTTTCTCCCCAGTCACTCCCAATCGAGGGTTCAGCTCAGCAATATAAGCCACTCTTATTAGAATAATGTTTTTATTTCAACAAATCTGAAACCAAAACTAGCTATGAGGCAGATTAATTAGAGTTAGTGCAGCACCTTCTATCAAGTCAACACACTTCCACCAAACCTCAACGCAACCAACTACAAGTTGTTTAAGTAAAATTTCCTCTCAAATTTAAGTTGAAAAATGCACCCCTTACTTTAAACTTAAACTCATGCTTTAAAACTGTAGCTTCATTTTGGACACCAGCCTGTACTCCTGCAAATCCATAAACCTGAACCAAATGGACCAAGGGCTGGGCTAGAAAACCAGATGACAGCAGGGCATGCACTTACAGGAAGGTATGTTTTTATGCCATTGCTTGCACAGCCTCTGGCATGTGTGATTTATGATTTTGTGATACACCCACCCATACCCCCATTTTGTTTTATGCATATTATTTTGGCAAGAACATGACTATGCTATATGAAACAATATAAAGCAGACCCAAAAAGCAACTTTTCATCCCCCACATTCCATGACTTCTCACCTCTTTTTCTATCTAGTCTGAGGTGGAAAAGGTAAAGGGTTGAGTGGAATTACATTTTGGAGTCAAACACAAGCGAGGGCAGCAAGGAGAAGGAGGCATCCTGGAGAATGAACGAACATACTGCTAGTGAAGGACAGCCATGCATGAGACACCAACTCCCAATGATTCTGCTGAGCTAACTTGCATGCTGACCTACTGCTGCCTGCCTCATCACCTGTCTCTGTGAGCAAAATTTATATTTACACACACAGATTTTAGGGTCTCAAGTGAAGAACTCCAGGATACAGGAAATATGCCAAACACTTGTTACTCGCTTAGTCTCAGAGCACCTCAACCATTAAGGCTAAATACGTTTTAGGTCAGTTTTCCAAATGAATGTATTACTGTGAAGCATGGGCAAAAAAGGTCTTGCGTACACACATTTGCACACATTCTCGTGCCAGCACTACTGCACAATGAATGAGGAATGGGTATGAAGTGCTGTGCTTGCAACTAAGCCACCAAGCATTCAGGTAACTGTCATGACTTACCTGGTCTACCTAAGAGCCCGCACTATCACTAATCACATAAGAAGAGAGAGAGCTTCTTAGACCGGTGCAGCCGGACCCAATCGCCCACGGGTGAACCAGCCCGGCGCCACTGGCAGCCTGCAGGCAGAAAGCAGCCAGCAGGCCCGCGGGGAGGCGGAGGGCACCCCCCGGCAGAGCCGGCCCGCTCAGCGGCCGCCCTGCTCAGGCCCTGGATCAGGTCCTGACCCGCTTCCTCCCGGCCGGCGGGCCAGGCAGGCCCCTCGCCGGCCCCGCGGGTGACGGGTTTCTCACCGATTCGGCGGCGTTTCCCTCCGCTCCCCGCGGCTGGGTTGAGGCGAGGCGGGCTGAGGTGATATGAGGTGAGGCGGACCGGTAACGGGCGACCCCGCCGCGCGCCACCAACGGCCGCCGCGCGCGCCGCGTTGCCAGGACACCGCCGGTTGTTTGCACCGCCAGCGGGCGGAGCGTCCTGCCTGCCCCGCCCTCTGCCGGACATCGCGAGCCTGCCGGCTGCCATTGGCCCGGACTAAGGGAAGGGGGCGGGTCGCCCGTTACGTCCGGCTCGCTCATTGGACGGCCCCGCTGCCGTTGCGCGCGGCGGTGGGCACACTGGCCTGCCTGAGGCGGGCCGGGCCGTGCGGAGCGGCGGGGCTGAGCGGGCCCATCCCACCCGGAGCGGCGTCGGCCAGATGGTGAGCCTCCCCTTCCCCTCGCCGCGGGCTCCCGTTCCCCATACGGCCTCCCCACAGGCTGCCGCCTGAGCGCCTCTGAGCCTTCCCGCTCGGCTTTACCGGGGGGGGCCGGATCCCTCCGGCGATCCCCGGCCTCGGGCGGGCGGGCAGCCGTTGGGCTCGGAGGACTGTGAGGGGAGGTCGCGGGCGGGCCGCGCCGGCTGCCAAGGCCGGCTCAGGTACTCGGGCTCCTCACACAACGCGGAAGTCAACACCCCAAACAAAAAGGGGCAAGGAGAGAGTCGTGTCCTCCACCACTTTCCCCCTTCCCCCTCAAAAAAAACACCCCACCAAACCCGAACTTGGGCACGATGAAAAACACCCAAGAATCGCAAAATACGTTACCTGCTTTCATGGTGCGGGGTAAGCCGGAGGAAACGTGCTTCCCGAGCTCCTCTCTGTTTGATTCGGTCCCCTGTAGCGTGAGGCAAGGGTGAATGGCATCGGCCAGGTGCAGTAGGTGGAACGCAAAATGGATTTGCACAACTGGGTTTTGAAATAAATGAAGCTGGAATAAACGCACCGTGCTCCTCCTTAGGATCTTCAACATTTTTGCTATCAAAAGCTAGTTTTGATAGCTTTTATCACCAGGCACTTCCAAAAGCAACAGAACCTGCAAAATATTTCTAAGATACATATATGTGTATATCTATATAGGTGTATACACAGGCTGGAAGAAAATAGGTTCAGGTAGCATATCAGTATTTTTTTCTTTATAGCCAGGAAAAGGTTTTGGGTTTCTTGGGTTTCTCCTAGAGCAGAACAGTAACAGTAAAAATCTGATGCCTGTGTTAATACCAGGGAAATGTCAGAGGTGTGCCAGACAGACTGGTCTGCAGTCCAACCTGGGAGGGACAAATCATGTTAATAAAATGAAATTTCATTTCCAAATACAACAAAATGGAATCTTGTGTGTTACGCACTGGGTATTTAAAAGTGAGATCCCAGCCAAAAAAATGGTAACAATTCAGCAGAGGTAAGAGATTGCTCAGCAGTAGCTAGAAAACAAATTCCTTTTTATGGTATTTGTTTTATTTGCTTTTATAAAACCCAGCCAATTTAAGTTTGGGATGGGAGGGACTGCCCTTCCTTCCATGACCTGTGCAGATTCAAGACTAAAGGACTGAAACGTGTGCTGCTGGTTTAGAAGAAAGCCTGTCCTTGAGGAAAACATCTTTCCTGCTCAATAGGCGGGTGGTGGTGGAGAAACGCTCTGTAGTGCACTAGCTTACACTAGAAGCAGGAAAGGTCTCAGAAGTGTCCTGGATAATAATGCTCAGCACAAGCAGATTAGTTCTCCTTACGGGGCAGATTTTGTGTTGATCTCTGGTACCACAGCGTGTTGTTACCTAGCGCCACAGCCAGTTTGTGGACAGGCAGGCTAGAGCTACACAGCTGCCTTTTAGCTTTGCTCCGACAGAGCAGATGCTCTCAGACTTTGAGGAGTGGCTGAATGTGAGTCCCACTTACAGTCCCTATACAATTAGCCTTTTTAGCTGTGAAGATGATCTACTCACATTTACCAGGTGAAACCACTCCTGACACATCAAAGCAACCGGCAGGAGGTGCAGACGGTCTTAGTTACTTCAGTGGAGTGTTCATTTTCAAGACTGTCCACCTTTTTTTCTGGCATTACTCCTTTAATTGTTTATCTTTCTGTTTAAAACAGAAAACATGAAGCCCAAATAGTTATTTCCCAGTAACAGAGTCTTCAGCTTTTTTTCTTTCTAGAATAATTGAAGAAATTGGGCACAGAGACCCAGTGTCTACCACTTGCAGCAAAAAATGTCTCACTTCTGCTACAGCTTTACTGTTGTTTATAATTTAGTTATGTTTTGAATTTTCCCTGGAGTGGACTATTTCTCATCTTTTCTCTCCTTCACTTTCTGAAGGCATCCAACTATAGAAAACCTGGCTTAAGTACAGCCCAGCGGAAGAAAAGTGGCTTGAAACCTGAACTTACAGAAGAGCAAAAGCAGGAGATCAGAGAAGCTTTTGATTTGTTTGATACCGATGGATCTGGAAGCATCGACATAAAGGAACTGAAGGTTTTCAAACATTATTTTCTTGGATGGAAGTATCTTTGGTCTCAAAATTGTAGCTGCTTTTTCTGTTTGTCCAGCTCTATTTTAAAATAGTTTTGGAGTACAAACAAGAGTAATGGCTGATTGTCATGACTAAATTTGGGCTGCGCTACATGGTCAACCTGGGAAAGCTCTGTATGTAATACTTAGAGCAGACATGCTTCTCTAATACCATGGATAATAGGTCAGATAGCTTTGAATATCTGAGCACTGGAGGAACAGTTCCTGTGTTTAGGTACACACAGTGCACATTTCAGTTTTCATCACTGACTGAGATCATTGTTTCTTGGATCTTTTGTTGGACTTCTGTTGTTCTGGGATGAATATCAGAATATTGAATTTTTTCTTCATCTCAGAACTAAACATGCAGATTCTGCATACATTCAGGAAAGACACAACTTTGTTTTCATATGGTAATATGAATTCATCCCAAAATTGCCTGGTTTTTAATTTAAAAAAGAATAAAAGAGAGATCCGAGTTGCAGTGCAATAGCAATTGAGGTTGTGTGCATGTGCACATACTTACACACAATGGTACAAGGGGAAAGATTATTCTCAGTTCTCTCCTTATGCTTTTCTGTATCTGGTCTTTTTTGAGCCGTGAACATTTTATCTTAATTATCTCCTTAACCTTGATTTCTCACATACACAGAAACCGAGGCAGAGTGTGTGTGTGTAACCTAGAAGCACAAGTTCCTAAGCCTGTGGCTTATCTCGGATTTATTTGGAAGTACTTATGCTTGATTAAAGAGAACATGTTCTCTGAACACAGATGATACATGTTAAAGCATAGTTCTTAAAATGAACTGAAACATTTTAGCATCAACCACTTAGTGCTATGGTTTTCTTGTTCAAAATTAACTCAAAATAGTGGATATTTTGCAATAGAAAGTGTTCCCCTCTGAAGGACAAAATGGAACATTTCAGTTGTCCTGTTACAAGAAACTGGTCAGAAACACACTCCAGTTAAATGTTAAGTTTCTGATGAGTTGGCACTTTCCAGCAGAAGAGCGTTTAGCGAGAAATTTTCTGTCTAATATTAACTATTGATTTCCACTAGAGCATATAGGAAGAACAAATGTTCACAGTTCAAATCTTCCTCTAGTTACGTGTTCTTGAAACTTCAGTCTCTGAATTCAATACACTGTAATAATACACACCAGGATTGTGAAATTACTAACAAACACCTAAGAAGCAAAATCATTGTTCTAGGCTGGTGAAATGCCAGAGCCTGGTTTTAAACAATGTTAATATGAAGCATTTGTACAACAAGCTATGCAACTGTTTTTGCTTGTGCTCTGTAAGGCTCAGAAGGTTTGCTTTGTTTTTCCTCAACTAGCAGAGCAGTCAGGCTTTGCTTTGCTGAGACACTTGGCAAGTATTGTCAGTTCCCACCTCCTCCCACTCCCTCCTCCCCACCACCTCCCCTGAAGTGCCAGGAGCTCTGCATATGGATTTCTTCTATCTCTGTGTACCAGATTGTGTAAGTTAACTGCATGTAATTCTGCACCCATCAAAATTAATGAGCATTCTGCCCTTCATTTCAAATGATACGAGATCACATCCCTGGTCTCCAAACTTCCCTTGAAGTCCCTTTTTGATAATCCGGCCCCTTTAGGAACTATATGGAGTGGAATCTTTATCTAATTTATACACAAAAAGTTTCACTTAGTTTCAGAAATATATCTGTGTTCCATGTGGATCTAAAGAGAAAAATATGTCCCAAGTCTTAAGAATGTCAAACCTACACTATTACCATTTGCAAAGATGAAACCAGCAGGTAGGAGATATCAAGATGTTTTCATTGCAATTATTATTAGTTTTGGACGAGGAATTAAACAAGCTGTAGTGCTGCTGCTGTCACTATAATTCTGGTAGCCTACTAACAGAATTGCTTTTTGGCACAGGTTGCGATGCGTGCTTTAGGCTTTGAACCAAAGAAGGAAGAAATTAAGAAAATGATAGCAGATATTGACAAAGAAGGAAGCGGTACCATTGACTTTGAGGACTTTTTGGCTATGATGACACAAAAAATGGTAGGAATTCTTAGTAGAAATTCTTGTGACAGCATAAAAAATTACTGCAAAGGAGTATCTCTGTGGTGGGTGTTTTCTAATTAATATATGCTTTACTCTTGTTTTAGAGTGAAAAGGATTCAAAAGAAGAAATCTTGAAAGCTTTCAGATTATTTGATGATGATGGGACAGGAAAAATTTCATTCAAAAACTTGAAGAGGGTTGCCAAGGAGCTGGGGGAAAATTTAACAGATGAAGAACTTCAGGTAAATTCTGATTTTCCAGAGTTTTTCTAACAGGCACAAACCAATCCTGTAGCTCCCAAAGACTGGGTGGAAATGTATGCCTATAGGAAAGGGCTGAGAGCACAGAACTATGAAGAGCAATCAAATACATAGTTGTGTTTTCCCATCAAATGCTTGTGATATGTTGTTGCTTTAATGAACAGAAGATCTTGTGTTTAGGGTCCAGTGCCTGATCAAATGTACAATATGTCTTATAGGAAATGATTGATGAAGCTGATCGAGATGGAGATGGAGAAGTGAGCGAGCAAGAATTTTTGAGAATCATGAAGAAAACCAGCTTATATTAATATTTGTTGCCTTGCTGTACAGCTGTTCCAAAAGATAACCTGGAAAAGACTTAAAATTTGGGCTTGTGTCTCCTGCATATTTTCTGCCATGTAGAGAAAGTCTGAAAGGACAGATTTTTGGTTCATTCTTCTTTTTCAGCAAAACTGGGGGAGGGGGGCTTCAATACCTATAACTGGTAAAATTAGATATTACAGAAGTGAAAAGGAAGGATGAACTGAACCTGCAAGGCAGGGTCCCTTCTCTCCCTCAACAATTTCATCGATGGCCATTTTGGATGAGGAACACTGTGTTTCAACTATTTAACTAAAAGACATTCATTTTAGACGTGAAAATTCCCACTGCTGCTGGGGGAAAGGCCACTTTTGACTTTTCCTAAGGCTACAGAATGAAGGTACAAAGCACAGTATTTTTATTCCTTTTAAGGCTTTTAGGTTATCTTTTGGTATTTGTCTCATTTTGCTTACTTCTATGAAAGACTCTAAAACCAACTGCATACCTGTCTATTTCTGTATGAGACACTGTTTTCCATGGCAATTTGGTTTTGGACCTAACAGGAAGCAAATGTAGATAACCAGATTTGGTTCTTTGTTTGGAGCTGTGTGCCATCAGCAGATGTTCTTCTGTTTATCTGACCATCTGAAGCCTAGTTTACTTGAATGTAACCTGCTTGGATTATCAAAATTTTTTGTATAACCAGTCAACATCTTGTGCCATTGTTCTTACTCCCAAGACATTACAGCGCTGCTGCCAGGATTTTAGGTACCTAAAATTTTGGTTCTGTGGTGCACAAGGGTAAATTTTGTCTTTGACTGTTTACAGTCAAGTTTCAGGGACGACTCGCATCTGAAGTGAAAAAATAGCTTGCCTTGGACATCTGTGGAACACTGAATATATTTAGATCCGTGCAATCTAAATTCATTTCTGACATCACAGGTTTGGATTTACTTTTTTTTTTAGGCGTCCCTTCATTTTCATGAATATTTCTTTATACTGTCAGCCTAGGATTTACTGGAGAGCCACATTTCCTTCCGTATTACCCGTGACAGAGCAGTGACACACAACATGACATCTGATTATGTGGTTGTGCAGGAGGCTTTGTCCTTGGGTCCCAATTAGACAATCGGCTCCAATACCGCAGGGAAATGGTATAATCCTAAATGGCATCTCTCTCTAGTAAGGCGCCTGAAGGAGAGTTTGTTACTGCTCACAGCAAAGTGGCAAGTAGGTAGCAAAATGCCACAAGGGTCCAGCAGAAAGGGGAGGGAAAGGACAGTGTTTCACCAGTAACTGTAAAGATCCCTCTTCTCTTCAGAAGCTTCTGCTGCTTGAGAGCACTATGGAGGTTTTTAGAAGAAAGGAAGAGCCAGCTCCTGGACTGGCTCCTCAGTAGAGCTGCTTTGGCTCTCACGGGCTGTAAGGGCCCAGCAGGGGGAGAATCAGTTCCAGGAGCAGAAAGGAGAAGTGTTCGTTTCTGTGTCTTCTTCTCAGCGTGCAGATGCAGACCCAGCACATTCTGCCTGGGTCCCCCCAGCCTGGTGCTCTGACCGGCTCTGAACACACCCTCTCTAACCTGTACAGAAATAGGCTTAAACCTGTGGGAGAACAGGGACCCTGGAGACCTGTGAAGTCCTGTTAACATATTCAGTGGCAGTAGATGTAACCTATAGTACTGTAAGTGTTTTTAAATGTCTATTAACTTTGTATAAGTGTGAAATAAAACTGTTTTGCAAGTTTACGATTTTGTGTGCTTTATAACTTGGTGTGCTTACTATGAGAACTAAGTTTTCAAAAATAATTTTAAAGCATTAAATGGTTGAGCAAGTACATTTTCACTTTCGTTTATCTTTTCTTTCTAAGAGAGAAATTCCTAGGTGCAGTAGTCTATCACATAATTCCTCTGCCTCTTCCACTACGCTGATTAAAAGTTTCTAGTACTAACCACTTATATTCAGAAAGGGAAATTTGAAGTTCTAGTTGATGACGGGGAATCCCAGAGCCTATCACAGCGACTGTACTTTTTTTTTTTAATGGTGCCACAGGAAGAGATTGATGACTGTTGTTTACCTATGATGCATGTCACTTCTCCCTGTTCTAATCCCATCACCTGACTTCTGAAGGTAGGAAAGAGACACACAATCATACCTACCGTGTACACTACAATGCTGAAATGTTATTTCTGGCTTGCCCATTAATCTCAGAAGTCTGGAATGTCAAGCAGTGGCTGAATTAGCACAAAACTTGCAAGCGTTAACGTAACAGAACAAGTGTCTCACGCTGCTTCAGTTCGTGTGGTAGCGAGGGGTCTCTTGTCCCCTCTTCAGCCACATGCGTCGAGAAAAGGACTGACACCGTGGTGTCAGCAGCAGCCCACAGCAGTGCTCTGGTTCCACGTGTGTGGGTGCCCCTGTGAATCCTTCCTGTCCCTCCTAGAATTTTATCTTTCACATTTGTATACGTGGTGGAGGAAAAGGAGCCTGACTGAAGCCAAGGGCAGAACTTGGAGTTAGGTTTGTGTGAGGAACAGGGCCTGAACTGCCCGATCAGGAATTTCATCCTTTTAGCGTGCTGGAGAAGGCAACTCAGATCAATGAACTGGGAAGGCATTTTTCCTGGGCTCTATTCTAGTGGCTACTCCAGTAGCTTACCCTACATGGAGGGGTTTCACCAGAGGAGACAGATGGCTTGCACCCCTCTCCTCTTCTTCCCATTCACTCTATTCTCAAAAAATAAGAGCTGGGGCACTTCCAGGAGACTTGGATTCAACTCCTTTGCACTAACGTACTGAAGAGACAACAAAGCAGTGACTTGGGTTGCCTCACCTGAAAGGACCCATCCCTCAAGGCACCTGAGCCCAAGAGATCATCAGTGTGAGTGCCTATTGACCAGCACCTGGCACAGAGGGGAAGGCTTCAGCCCCAGCCCTGCCTGATGTTCCCTACAGACCGACCTGGGAACTCCAGGGGCAGGCAGATGGCTGTGAACCTCGTCCTTTGAATCCCTTTTTCCCCATTTTTGCTGACAGGGAGGCTGGGTTCTTACCTGGCATTTGCAAATCCCCCTCAGATGGCTGCAGTTCAGAGGCTGCAATATGAGCATCCAGCTGAGACCCCTTCCTTCTGCAACATCAGCCAAGCCGGGTTTTCAGTTTGAGTGTTGGTGCCAGTCACACACTGTACAAAAAGGAAAGTGGAACCGCAATTTGTATTTGGCAAGCACCTAAATATCAAAGCACTGATAAGGGCAATAGTGGCTTGGGAGATAATACTGCAAATGATTTCCAATGAATAATGTTATTAAATGAAAATGGTTGGGCCTGCAATAAAATTCAAAACAGTTCAAGGGAAAAAAAAATTACTAACAAGTTATATTCCAAAATTTGCCAGTGGCACGGCAACTCTAAACTAACCTTTGCTGTTATCTCACCTGTGCAATTTTAAGTTCTTTATCATCTCTCAGCCCCACAGTAAAGCAAACCTTCAGCTGGCTTTAGAAAAATCAAAGCAAAACAAAACCAACCCAAAATGTGACTATCTAGTGGGCAAAGGTGTTCTAAGGAATCTGAGCTGGCAGCTTGAGACACTGGGCTGTTGTGGTTTCTCACTGCATCACAGTGAGAAGTGGATAAAGGCAGCAACCTGGAAGGCCGCTCAGTTATCTGCAGTTATACCTGTGCCAGATGTGTGTAAAACAGCTGGCCAGGCACAGGCAGTTGCAAAAGTCTGGAGGAGTCTTGCAGAGCTGGTTAGCTGGTAAGGAGTGCCAAGCTCTCACTTCTCTAGGGGTGAACTTCTACTTCCAACACTGCAGAAAAATAATGGCTTCTTTTCAGGAAAACCTAATCTTGGTATTTGAAAGAGGATGGAGAGGGGAAGGCAACAGAAGAAACCCTTGGTGTGCTTTCATGTGCCAAGGGTCCCGCTAACAGAGCCCAAATACTTCAATAAATTGATGCGGCATTTAATATTAAAATATTTAAATCAGGCATTCGCAGTTTTGAAGAATAACTCTTATGTCCTGCAAACTGTCTGTCACACCACATACTTAAAGTGTTAAGTATTAATTCCCTCAAAACCTCCTGAGTTCATAGAAATCAAGTATTGCCACGCTACATCTGCTGTTCAACACTCCTGGATAGCGGAAGCGGATTTTGAGAAAGACTCTGGCAGTAGAAGGTGCTCTGAGCCAGAATTCACCATTGCCACATCAGACACACGGAAATGCTGGCAGAACACATTTTTCTGACACGGGTTAAATTTTTCTGCAACCCCAACAAAAACTTAACAATAGCATACTGCTTAAACCTATTCCATATGCTGGCTGGTACTTTTGGCAATCTTGGCAAGCATATTGGCGCAATGTATTCCCTTTATGGGGTGCATTTTTTGCAGACAGCCATTCTCCCAGAATATCAATGTTAAAGGCAAATCAGGACCATTGAGACTGCATCCAGGTACCATTGTCAGTGGCCCTCCTCCTCACTCAGAAGTTATTCTCCCTGCTACATTTGTTTGAAAATTATTTTTTTTTCCCCTCACACCCATGAAAACAACCGAAGATGAGAAAAATACTGCTCCTGAGATGCTTCAAAACAGAAGCTTTGTTTCAAAACCTTGTTACATATGCTAACAGAAACTAGCCACAGCTGTCTGACGCATTTTACAAAAATCAGGCAGGGAGAGCAAACAATCAGATAGCCGGGGATCAAGCAAACAAACTGCTTCGTCTACAGGCTGGGGTGACCCTTGACGCTTGAGGAAAGAAACCCTATGAGGATAATTCTGCAAAGGCAGCTTCCTTTTTGTCATATATATCAATATTAATAGGCAAACAACAATTGGGTATGCCACTGCCCAGGGCAATTAGGCACACGCCTCTCTGAATCGCTCCCGCAACGAGGCAGCCAGGACTGGCCCTCTGCTACAGCCCAAAGGTCCTGTGAAAGTCTCTGCCAAACAGGCATAAAATTCTGCTTTCAGTGGGCATTGCACACTCTGCTTCACTACAGGATGCACTCCTGAATTTTTTCACTAAGGACAGATGTAAAAGTCTTTTCTCTCCCTCTTTAAGGGAATAAACAACTGATAGATCTGCGAGCGTGACAGTCTCACTAGAGGGCATCCAGTTACTAACGTGTAAGATGAGTGATGCTTATTTCCCTCCTCTGTGGCTTTTAATGACGATCGAAAGTAGGCTAACAAACACCATCCAGCTGGGGCTCGAAATATGTGGTTGGATACAAAATTATTTTTCTTTGAAAAAAGAACACAAGGCTTCTCACACAACTCAAGTGCAAAATGCTGTAATTATTAGTTGGTTGTTCAAACCTAAACCCCCAAACCACACTTTCTGAAACTCCCACTCTGTATCAATAACTACAGGCACGCTCTCAGGGGAGCAGAGAACTGAACTTGCCTTTCACAAAGTCCCCCAGAATGTTCTTACCACTCTGTAGAGTTATTTTCTCTCTTTGGGAACACTGCAATCAAACAGAACCACTTCAGGCAGAAAGACAGGGCCAGACCGGCTCAGGATGCTTGGGGCCCTCCCTTGGGATGTGGGAAAGCTGGAATTGTGACCTTGCTTCGAGTCAAGAGGAACAAGGATTTGAGAATTAAGAGTCTTGTCCCTGAGGTGAGTACATTGACCTTTAGGAGGCTGTCTGCACCGGGCTGTGTCTTATTCCAATGGCCTTATGAGGTGAAGCGTGACCAAGAAACACACTTTCAGGCAAATGCTTGGCCAGAGGTCAAAAGCATGATAGATGGACATCTGCCTTCACTTAAAGGCAGCTCAGAATGTCAAGAGCTCAACAGTGCATACCTAATGCTGGAAAAAGTACAGGAAGAGATGTAGAGTCAGGGTAGAGCAATACAGAGGGCCTGCAGAGTGCAATGCTTCAAAACTTGATTTACGTGCCCAATTCCTCAAAGCAGTACAGAGACAAAGAGGGTCTTACAGCCACGATCGAAATCTCTCTGCTAATTCAAGAGCCCAGAAAAGCAGGCTTATAGCAAACCTGCTCCCGTGCAGGGCAGCAGAACATGTACAAGCAGTTCAGACTTCATCCCAAATGGTACCGACGTGGCACCTGCCTTTACAAGGGCTCAACCTTTGATGATTGCAGGGGTCCACTGGAGTGGAGGTGGGGACCTCAAACTGTAGCTCTTGACCTTTTTGGACTTCTGACTGCCACTAATGACTAAACTTGAAATTTCTCAAGTTTGGTTTTTTTTTTTTTGCTTGTCTGAATTAGATTTGATGCAGTGAGTAAGAGCAAAGCGAAGTTGTCAGGCCTGAGCTGTAGGTGTGCAAAAGTCTGGGCACAGTCGTAACAGTCTCACATGCATTTGTTATTCCCTCATGTTGGACACATGTGCCTGCATGTGCATACACAGTATGCACATGCAAATCTTGCAATCTTGTCATTATTATGGAGTTTTACATACTTTGGGTGTGCAAAAAGTACAAATGCGAGCGTATGTTTAAAAGCTTCACTTGGAAAGAGGGTGGATTTGTTGTAACATTTTAATGCCAGATAGAATGGGATCTGTGTACCGTAGAGTTACCATGGAACAGAAGTCTAGCCCTCATGTCCCTGGAGAGAAAATCCCACTGGGCCAGCAAGGGCTGGGGGAACTGGCATGGGAACTTCCTATACTGGGTTCAGGGTCTGCAACAAACTGGTGGGGTCTCACTGAGCTGGCCCTTGTTCTCAAGGCAACTTTATTTCATTTG